TAACATTAATAATAAGGATTATTAGTTTAATTGACTAATATTTCTGCAGCAGTCAAGTAACTGCACAGAAAACACAACAGACAAAGACTTGCAGTAAAGTTTTAATTCAGCACTTTTGTGAATTTCCACCATTAAACACATGAAACACAGATCTGACAGACAGAAAGTGAAACCAATCGTTACCAACAAGTGGCGATAAGACAATAAAAACACGTCCCTGAACCGTGACTTCTGACTTTTATTGCAGCTGCTGCAGTGAAACCAGCAGTTTCTGCACTTCTGCTCTCGTCTTCTGCAGCTCGTCTCTGATTTTCTCGCAGCGTCTCACTGCTTCGTCAGAGCAGGACAGTAGCTGACCGTCGCTCAGACTCTCCTCCACGGCGTCCACAGCAGCCAGAGTCGTCGCCGTTTGTCCTGCGACGCTCTTCATGGCGTCGCTGGAGGCCATTTTGTTGCTAATCTGCTGGATGGTTTTCAGCTCCGTCACCAGCGGTTCGAGTCGTTTTCTGAAATCCTTCCCGGTTTTCCGCATCCTGTTGACTTTCTCCACCTCCTGATCTGTTGAGTCTTTACCTGTAGACGGCCAATCGATCATGCTCCCCACTACATAACCTGCGGCCATCGTGGCATGCAGCGCACCGAACGCCCCTCCGACCGCCCCGCCTGCCGCGCCCACCGACCCGCCAAAAGTGCTGCCGATTGCGCTGCCGGTTGCGAAGCCGATGCCGATCCACAGAACTCCGCCGAACACAAAGGGAACCCGATGACCCGCCACTTTGGCAGCAATGTGAACGGCAGAACCAATGGAGCCGGAAAACGCTCCGCCGAGGACTCCGCCGAGAATGCTGCCGAAAAAGCCGACAGTTGCACCGGCGGCGTTGACGTCCCTGTTGAACCTGGCGATTGTTGCCGCTCCAACGGCCCCAAAAGCCCCCCACAGTCCGCCGGTGATGCCCCCACAAACTGCCCCGACGGCTCCACCAAACAGACTGAACAGAACCTGAGCCACGGCATCCTCACTGCGGTTGTTTTCGCCTGCTGCCGCCCGACTGAAACGTTCCAACGCTCGATGAAGATCGACTTGATGTTGATCGTAGAGATGCAGGAAAGACGTCAGACTTCTGACGAGGTTGTTTTGTAGGACGGTAGACGGGTCCAATCCAAATAAAAATGCCATGTTTGTGTTTCGGGTTCAAATGATGCTGGTGATGTTGAGGAGAAGTCGTCTATTGGATCAGCTGGAGTTTAATGGCGACATCCCTCAAAAACAACAACAGGTGCTCATCCCTGAACAGGTTCCAGATTCTTATTTTTCCGTCTGCAAATTAAAAACAAAACAAAAAGATCTGAAACCAGCTGATTCTGAAATCACTCCTGTAAAATATCAGTGAATTATTTAAATAAACTCCTGACAAAACACAAAATAAATGTGTCACAGATTTATAATTTTTTAAAATCCTGTTTGATTCCATTAAAACATCAAAGTGAATCGTATAAATAAACATATCAATACTTTTTGATAAAGTTTTTTATTTGCTCCTGAAAAGTTCTTGAATCGTTCTCATGGAATTTTTAGAATCTGATACAAACAGTTTATTTTTGGCTGATATTTAAAAGAGGCGTTTAGAAAGAAGTGATTTTGAAGGAATTTTATGATTTTCAGCTCAGATTTGTGTTTTTCTTCTCAGACAAAACCAAATGCAACAGGAGAGGAGTCGAAGCACCACAGAAAGCTGAAAGTCCAACTGTTATTTGTGGGGTTTTTAAAAATTTGCTATTTTTAAAAATTGTTTCTGGCTTCGATAAATGATGCAAATTTGACGAGTTTTTGTTAATAAAGCACATTCAAACCTGCACCTTGGGGTGCAGAAGGTTTTATATGTTTCATGAGACATATGGGTAGAAATTCAGATAAAAGGTTTTTTAAAAGCAGCTTTTTCCCACTGCTATGCAGTCGTAGGTGGAAGTCTGAGCGAGTTGGAAAGTTGCTCATCTGTCCTGTTTAATCCTTGTGTGTCCGTTTGTCCCAGTTTCTACGCTGTAATTACGTCAAATCAAAAATATTTCAGCTTTCTGTTGCAGAGCAGCTGTGAATGAATGAATGAATGAATGAATGTCCTTTACTGTCATAACACATCGTACAACCAGAGCTTCTCCTATTGTCTGTGCAAGTAAAAAAAAAAAGTGCAAAGTTGCTCAGTGAAAATACAAAAGTTAAAAAATGGACAAATATATTTTTAAAAAGCAATAAAAGATTTTAAAAGTATTACCTAAATGTATTAAATGAAATGAATAATGAACAGTCTTATTTTCAGAACATAAGTACATTTATCCATTTAAACTTTTGTCTACAACAATAAATGTGCAAAAAGTAAAACCTTCTGACGACGTTATGAACCGACTACATTTAAATCCAGACGTGTGTTCATGTTTTATTCTTGCAAACTGTAAAATCTGCACGATAACATTCAGCTGCTGTTGTCTGTTCACATTCTGACTGAATAACTGCAGCGATTGTTCTGCCTGAACAAGTTTAAACAAACTCATGATGACATTAAAGCCACAAGTAACAAGCTGCTGTGAGACGCTTTTATCTGCAGTTACTATTGAAGGTATGAACGTCGAGCGTTTCTGTCGTTAAATCTGAGATATCAAATCTGATCTTGTCCAGCTGAGAGTCAGTGAAGCAGGAGTTTAAACTGAAAGCGTCTTTAGGTTCGTCGTACTCACAGTCTGTCGCTCGTGTCCGATCGAAGCACCAGCAGACGCTGCCTCATTTGGTGGAAATATTTCTCACAGAAGCAGCTAAAATAACGACTGAAGGCTGAAACTTCTTCAAGGGAGGAACCAGGAAGTGTGGGAGTCAGAGGGCAGGGCAGGACTGACAGTAAAGCAGTTTCACTTCCAAATGCCTCGAAGGGACAAACAGGGAACAAGAAACAATTGCATATTGACTGATTTGTGTTGTCAACACAACAGAAGAAGCTGGGCGTACCCGTCAACTAACATACTCATCATAGTTTGAATTCAGTCGGTGCACGCCAAAGGAAAGTGAGTTATTACACAAACACTGAACTTCCTGTAAAAGCAAAAGTGTTTAAGTACAAACAGCAAAATGCACTTTAAGTTGCATTAAGGTGTCCATAGAACCTGTAGATAAAAGACAACAAACAACAGGAAATACAGCTTTTCTCCTTCAGAAGCTACAGTGTGCAAATATGAAATATAAATGAGCCGCCACTCAAATGTTCATCAATTTTGCATCAATCTGTAATAATGACAAACATTTTACATGTTTGTTGTTGCTAATTAAAGTTTACAAGCAGCTTAGTTTTACAGAACAGTGTCATCTCCTTTATGTAACGTACGTGACGATGTCAGAAAGTGTTCGGATACATTGGAGGGTTCAGGAAAGTTGAGTGAACTTCTTAGAAACGCTGCAGCTCAGCCAGAGGCCTCATCCGTCAGCAGAGAGGATGAAGGTCAAGCCCAAGTCTGCTTTGCATAATAACTCTCAGGCTGCTCTTTGAGGAGCTGATTCAGTCGGAGATCACCTTTAGCCTCCGGCTCGTCTCCCCAAAGGTAAACAAAGGAGCACTTAAACACTGATTAGCGTCCAGGTCCGCTGTGATCCGAGCCGGTGTTCATGAGCTGCTCTGATCCGTTAATCAGCACGTTAATGAGCAGAAAACCTGCATCATTTAATCAGGAAACAGTGATAATGAACATCTGGGGTTTTGTTTGGACGTAAAAGAAAAGTGAAGCCTGCATTCTGTCTGACAGCCACCAGGGGGCGACTCCTCTCAAGTCAGATTATATAGAAGTCTATGAAAAACTAACCGACTTCTCATTTGATTTCTGACCTCAGTGGATATTTTTCTATTTAGTTTATGGTTTTAATCGCTTGTTTTCAGTCTTCTTCAATATGGAATGATGTCTACTTTGTAAATTATGGTCATTTCTAGAAGAAAACAGACCATAAAAGAGGAGATGTTTTAGATCGTAGCTGCCCTGTGATCGATAAACTGCCACCTTGTGGGCCTCCGTATAGGTTCCTTGAGTTCAGCTTGCTCATCACATACGATTTCAAAAGATGAAAAATCCAAGCTTGTGCGTACATCACAGTTGCTACGTTCATTCCTTATTAACAGTCTGTAGGCCTGTTTGCACGAGACACTTATTCCCTGATGACCTGCAGACTTTACACGGTGGACAGTATAAGAAAAGTCTGCGTTTTACTTAAATTCACTGACATTATTCTCAGACATGGTATCAGCTGGCTGCTACAGAGTCACTGAACCAGAGCTTCATGCTGCCATGAGTAGCATCCATCAAGTCATCGATCTGATCGGTTCACTCAGGACTGAACCCGACTCTGGTCCTCTGTGTTTGGTTCAGTGTGTAGGACGATGTGTGCGGACATTTTTAAAAATTAAAGACATGGCAGACTCACATGTGATTAAAATCAAAGCTGACCTGCAATTAAATGACCAGAAGTTCAGCATTTACAACGTGAACCTGGTGGATTGAACTAAAATGAAACTTATGGAAGGCTAATGAAGGTTTTATTACATCTTCATGCTTGTTTTTATATATATATATAAATATACAACAGCAGTATTTCCTCCAGGATGTTCTTCGCCCTGGTTTAGCGTATTAGCTGCTAGCTATGATGGTAATGATTCTTTTGGTTCCATTATCTAACTCAGTCCATCGGGATATTTCTTTGTGTAGTTTTGTCATATTGTTGATCAGTTAAAGCTGTTTTATATGTTTTGGAATTTAAAAACGTGCATCTACACAGTTCTACATGTTCTCTCTTTATACATTTCTTTTATTTGAGTATGTTTATTAGAAGCTGTTTTATTGGATTTTATGGCAGTTATAGATCCACAAGTGGAACGTTTGCCGTCTTATGTTGAACTTCTTTTAACTCTAGTCCTGTGTGAAGTGGGATTAATGCAAACATACATGTGTTAGTGTACAGATGGTTTATTGGTCGGTCTTGTTTTAATCCAGTTTGCGGTTTTAACAAACACAATGATGTGATTCGTTGTATTTATTTCTGACACCAGAATGTTTTTTTGTTATGAAGCTTCCTTCCTACAAGACGTGAGCTGTTGATCTGCCCATCAAGGAAGTACAGCAAATAAAGCTGCTCTTTTTATATCAGTAGATCTGACTATAATTACGACTGCATTCCATTTAATTAATGTGTTGCTCAGATGTATTCGTACAACAAGTAAGACAGATTGAGCCCTTTGCTTGTATCTGCAGCCTTGGCAGTGTTAAACAGTCAAGTGCTCCATCAGTCTCAGTTTTATCATTGTGCTGATGTTAACCTTCAGAACAGTTGCTTTAAAACTGTTTGCAGCCAACAGGAAAGAAAAAAACAGGAAAGAAAGCTGGAATTCCCCACTGCGAGGACAACAGCTTACTGTGCAGATAAAAGCTGTTCGCTTCTGTTGGGAGTGCCGTCCAACAGCAGTCAGTTTAATTTAAGGATTTTACTTGTCAATGTGAAAACTGATTTATAATGTCCATTAATCAACAACGTAAAGGAAGTGATTGCATAAGAATTCACCCTTCAAGTCAGTATTTAGTGAACACACCTTCATCTGCAGTTACAGCAACGAGCCTCAATCAGAATGAACATCTGGACGCCGCAATTTGAGCCCAGTGTTCTTAATAAAACTGCTCAAACTCTGTCAGGTTGCAAAGGGATCATGAGGGAGCAGCTCAGAAACTCTCAGTTGGACTGAGGTCTGGACTCTGATTTGTCTGCTCCAGAACTTCACCTTGTTGTCTTCAAACCATTTCTATGGAGCTCTGACTGTTGACTCTTGTGGGAAAACAAGTCTCCTCCAAAGTCTCAGTTCTCCTGCAGACTGCATCAGGTTGTCCTCCAGGATTTCTCTTCACTTTATTGCATTCATTCATCCTCTACTTTCACAAGTCTTCCAGGGCTGCTGCTGAGAAACACCACCGTGCTTCATCATGATGCTGCCACCACCATCCTGTTTGTTGTGCAGATGTGCAATGTTGGTTTTTCAGTGTGCTGAACATTTAATTAATGTTGCGGTGCTTCATCATGATGCTGCCACCACCATCCTGTTTGTTGTGCAGATGTGCAATGTTGGTTTTTCAGTGTGCTGAACATTTAATTAATGTTGCGTAGATGTATTTTTATAGCACGATACTCTTTCAGTTGCTGCCCTGACAGTGTTAGACAGTCTGGGGAGGAAAAAACAAAAATAAAAACACCACTCAAACTTACTGTAAATCCGTTAAGGTCAACAAGGCTTTACTGTTCTAGCCCGTCTGTTTAAGCCCATTGTTTCTGACACTGTGCTCCGATAAAAACAATTGTTCTAAACTGTTTGACACCAACAGATAAGAAAAACTAAAGCGAGGAAGGCCGGAGATAAGGCCACTGAGAGGATAACAGCATATAAAAAGCATTCTTTAGACGGCAGCCACTTGAAAGAAACTCACCGCATTTAAAAAATGCCTAATTAAACGAACCACAAAACAACACTGAGAAGCAATAAAAGGCTCATTCTGCTGTTATTGTATCTCGCCGTATGTGTCTCAGCACATTCAGAGCGCCCTGAAAGCTCGGCCAAGAGGCACTTTACAGCCAACAGCACTTCACTGCTTCCTTTGCACTTCCAGTTAAACGCTTTCATGACATTAAAGTCGAATCGAATCACAAATTCCCCTTTAAAACACCGCTACTATTAAGACCAACGCATTTTATTAGAACAATCATTCTTTTCTTTTAATCTGCTACACACACAGCACAACCTGTTCTTACGTAGCTCCTGCATTAACCTCTTGTAACAGCGCCCCCTGGTGTGCGGACACCTACAGTTGGTTTACGAGTTGCCATTTCTGGCACTGTGAGGTTCACAAGAGAAGTTATTAAGCTTCAAACAGAGTCGTGTAAAATCCTGGCCAGGACGGCGGCTGCAGGATAATTACTAATCCAACACCTGACTCTTATCTGATTCCTGTCCTGTGACTCTCAGCTTCTCCTCGGGGATCAATAAACTTTCATCTGATCTGAGCGAGCCTGAACCTCATCGCGCCGCAGCTCAACACACATCTGGACGGTTTAAACTCATCTGTGACGTTTATTTGTGAACGTCGAAGGCTTCAGAGCCGGCGCGGTTACAAAATGATTAAGGTGGGTCAGGAAACAGCCCTTTTGAGTGAAAACATCTTTCAGCTGCTGATCAGAACCTTGAACGGCGGATTCGTCTTTACACACAAACTCTTTGTCACGCTTTCAACTAAATTAAAGGTTTGCCTCCCGTTAGAACGACTCATTTCAACAGATTCATTCTCATGGTGCACCGATGAGCTGATTACACACATTAAGGTCTGTTTGGGGAGAACTGAAGCTTTTTTTGGTGACTTTAATAAAAGCGATTGAACCTGTAATAACTGACATTGGCTGTGTTTCATCTAACTGTCGAGCAAATTAAAGCAAGCCGTTGAAATGTTGCAGTAAATTAAAAAACAAACACAAAATGACATGGATTTGAACATATCTTCACTATTATCATTAATTTGAAGCCACCTGACAAATTTAAGTCCTTCTTTTAGCTCCGGCTTTGGTCTCCACCACCACCTTTATTTTTTTTTACTGTTTCTGTTAACTTTCTATATTGTGATACTTCAAAATCGGAACAAAAAGAATTTATGCTAACACATATATTGCGACATCTTCATTATCATTATTTATCTGAAGCCACTTGGTCAATTTAAGTCCTTCTTTTAGCTCTGTGTTTGGTCTCCACCACCCG